GGAGCTCTCCCCTCATGTCTACCCACCTAAGCACCCACACCGCGTCGAGAGGAACAGCGTCCGCCCAGGGTCCGCGAAGCTGCTGTCTTCCCTCAGCAGCTCCGCCTTAAGCCCCAAGTACTCCGGCCACTTCAGGAATTTGCGCCATACTTGGTCCCCTGCAACCATGAGCTGCCTACGGGAGTGATACTCCTCCCCTGCCTTCTTGGACGGCCTCCACATAGCTTTCGTCCCTACAAGGGTGTACGAAAGAACAGCAGTGTGCCAGAACCTCCTCGCCAAACCCATGACACGTTCGTCCATCTTGTCGCTCCTTTCCTTGCGAGGAGCCCAGAGGTATCTCCCCTTCTCCAAAGCTTCCTGTGGAGGTATGGTGTGTTCANAGCTTCCTGTGGAAGTATGGTGTGTTCAGTCCTGTGCATCCGGGTACGCGCTGCACGGAACGTATGGTATCTCACACCGAGACCCTCTTCTCACGCGACAAGGCTGACGGCACCCTGCGGCTCAGCAGGTGCGCATGGCTCATCCGGGGTGCAAGGGTCATCAGGATCGCACGTGTGCTCCGCTCCAGCAGCTGCGGCAATGACGGTGTTGTAGGCAGCGCGGCCGATGTTGCTGTGGGAGTGTAGCTTCAGCGTCTCTATAGAGGCGACCAGTGCGCGAATGTTCTCCGCATCGACAGCAGCCTTCGTCGCCGCTGCCTCTCCAAGTTCTCCGACACACAGTAACTCCCTCAGCTCCTCCTTCAACACATCATCCTCTAACACGCTCTGCTTCACCCCGTCGCGGTGCCGGTCGATAGCCTGTTTGATTACGATAAATTTTGAAGCAGTTTTGGCGAGGGGGGAAATGTGAGGATGGGACTCAATAGTTTCGTGGGGAGATGGAGAGCAGGGGAAATTACCGGAAATACAGTGGTCTAGCCTACAGGCAAATTCAAACATTTGAGAAATACGCAAGATATCAACCTATCTCTTGCCGTACACCGCTCTGAACTCACCGTTTGCCGTTGTCGTGGAGGAGTCGTCGTGGGTTGTGGGCTTCTCCTCGGTCCGCTGAAAAGAAGCGCCTCAAGCGGATCGGAGCGAGCGAGACGTGTATCGGCTCCTAACCTTGGACCTCGTTCGGCAGCAGAAGCAGCCACCGCAGCAGCGGCAGCAGATCTGGTGGCGGCTCCTTCCCGTTTCTTCTTGCGACGTTTAGTAGCCCGTTCTCGGACGTCATCAACATGCTCTCGGGCCATATGTACAACACCCTCGAGGTCATCCACCACAGAGCCTATTGCCTTGGTAGCCGCAGTCTCAGTGCCCTTCTTCAGCAGCGTGGAGGTCAGCTGATAGCCCCTGGCGTGGGTGCTCCATCTGTGCTTGATGACCCTCGCTTCTCCCGCAATTTTGATATCGCGCCTCAGCATGGTGGCAGCAGCCGCCACCGTCCAGGCGACGGGAAGGGAATGAGCAGTATCTCGTCGAGGTGGGTCGGGAGACCCTGCAGTGAGTTCCTTTAAGGGTAATTCGACCAAGCGGAGTCGATTGGCGGGGTGGACAAGTCGCTCCGAGTTGATCTTCCCTGTGTATTGAATCCCGCCGCATATATTTTCGTCCAAAAGTAGCGCGAAAAAACATATACTTCCTCCGATTCNTCGGGAGACCCTGCAGTGAGTTCCTTTAAGGGTAATTCGACCAAGCGGAGTCGATTGGCGGGGTGGACA